TTCTTAATTTTTTTGATTATTTGTTGATGGTGTTGAGAAATACAGCTTTTTTTTTTCTTCTTGGGGGGGGTTGGTTCTCATTGCAAAAAGACACATCAATATTAAGTATAAAAGCAATTGCACTAGGAAGTTTTCTTTCTCCTACCAACCTCAGGTCACACAGCAGAACATTTTAAACTAGTGAGCTACAGAACGCACACTTCATAGAAACTTTACCTAAAAGTAATGTTTGGATGGGGAAAGAAACTTCAAAAGATCAGTGTACCACTGCAGAGAATTCTCGCTACCAGATGGGCTGCAAGGCACCCAGCTCTCGAAGAGCAAAGTTTCAAACTAATATAAAATTTTAGGTTTTATACATAAACTATTGATGATTTATCCAGTCCTGACTGATAAAAAGCATAACGAAAAGGCACTTTAGAGACAGCAGCTTCAGAAATAGGTGATGGGCTTTATGTGGCTAAATAGTGGGACAAGCACAATTCATATCCCCCCTCCCTGCAACTTTGTAGAATTTATTAGCTCTGCTTTTTCTTTGAGGATGTGGAGTTGAGACAGAATTACATGAAGCCCATGCTAGCTTCAAACTTGATAGGTAGCTAAGGAGGACATTGATCTTCTGATCTTCCTTCCATCAAGTGCTGGATTATAGGCAGGCACCACTGTACCTGACTTCTTGCTATTTTTGTTTTTGTTTTGTAGTTTCTTTATGATTTTGGACTGGTAAGGTCTTGTCATTTGTTAACAGAGATAACTTCATCTCTTCTTTTTCAATTCAGTCATCTTTCCTCCCACCTTTATTTCTTTGGCTAGAATTGCTAGTGTCATAAAGGGGACAGGTAAAGTACACATTTGTCTTGTTGCTGATATTAAAGGAAAGGTTTTCTGTCTTTTCCATTAAATGTATAGCCCAGGTTGGCCTCAGTCTTATAATCTTACTGCCTCAGCCTGCTCTCCCACTGCTAGTGTAATAGGCATAGAACTACAGTGCCTGCCTGTACTGGTGTATTCTTTTAATTCCTATGAATTTGTGAACTCTTCAATTTTCCTCTTACTGATTCTAGTGTTATTCAGTTGTGATCAGAAAAGATACCTTTTTCTGATTTTCTGTTTAAGACTTGGGAGTCTGTCCTACAGAATAGTTCATGTGTATTTGAAAAGGCTATTGTTGAGTGCGGCCCCTGCTCATATCTGTTAGCCTTTGTCCTCAGCGGTGTCCTACTGCCTGTTTAATCTTGCCTGAGTTCATTATTGTAAACAAAATAATGAAGTTTTCAACTATTATTATAGAACTGCTCTTGTTTTTTTCTTTAATTCTATCAGCTTTTGTTACATATCTTTCAAGATTCTGTTACTGGCAATATGTTTGTAATTGTATGTCTCATTGCTGGATGCAAGTTTGAAGCTAACCCTGGGCCACATCCTCAAAGGAAAAGCAGAGCTAATTCTACCTTTTATCAATATATAGGTAATACTCTTCTTTGTCTCATAATCTTTTTAAACTTAAAAGTCTGTTTTGTCAGTAATATAGCTTGCAACAATTTTGTTTTCTATTTGCATGAAATATCTTTTTCTGTCTTTTTACCTTCAGCCTGTCTTTGTATCTAAAAGGAGTCTCTTGTACAGTATATAAATGAATCAAGTTTTTATAATCCAGTCTGCCAGCCTGCCCTTTAATCAGGGAGTTTCATCCATTTATAACTATGCTAATTACTGATAAGAAAGGGTTGCCTGTTGTGGTAGTACACACCTTTAATCCTAGCACTAGGAAGGCAGAGGCCGGTGGATCTCTGTGAGTTAGAAGCCAGCCTGGTCTACATAGAGTTCCAGGCCAGCCAGGGCTGCATAGTGAGATCCTGTCTCAAAAGAAAGGGTTTCCTTCTGCCACTGCTGTCCAGCTTTTGGATGCCTTACATGGCTTTTGTTCCTCTGGTCTTCCATTATGTCCTTATTTTCATATAGTGAATTTTTATGTTGTTAGCAGTAGGTTTGTAATAGTGTATATTACTGCTGGATGGCACCTTTTACTCAGTTCCCTCTTCTTTCCTTTTCTGTATATATTGAAAGTATCTTCTTTCTGGTTATCTTATGGAATACAATTAAACCTTACTCCTGAAAGCTTAAAAATTAATTTATTTTATTCTGCTAGGGCTTAAACCCAGGGCTTTGCACACATTAAGTAACTGCTCTTCCACTGAGCTACAACCCAGCCCTTTTCTTTTTATATTATTACAGATTATATCTTTATTGTGTGTCCATTAGCATATATTTATAGTTTTTCCATTTTTGAGTAATTAGGATAAAGACATTAGAAGCCAAAAGAATAATATGGCTTTTATGTCTACGTAATTACCTTTACAGATGCTCTTGATTTCTTTTGATGGCTTCAAGTTACTGTCATATACTTTCATTTCAACCTGAAGAACTCTGGCATTTTTTTACAGAACAGGTCTACTAGGACTAGTAGTGGCTCAGCTTATGCTGATCTGAAAATGTCTTCATTTGTCCCTTCATTCCTGAAGGATGGTTTGGTAGATGCAGAATTCTTGGCTGACTATATTTCTTTCATAGTTTGAAGTGTGCCATTTCATTTGTTTCTTGTCTCCATGATTTATTTCTGTTGAGAAATAGTCTGTTAAACCAGCTGAGGAACCTGGTCTAGTTTGTCATGGTTTCTTTTAGCTCATTGAGCCTATTTTGATGCTGACTTAGCATCTTGTTTTATTTGCTTTTGTTCAGCAGGCTTCTCGTTATAAAAGTCTAGCATCGGCTTGTAGGAATAATTAATTAATCTCTTATTTTATTGTTTTTCACATTCATTTTATGTGTGCATGCTCACATGCCATGGCACATGTATAGCAGTCGTAGGACACCTTTTGGGAGTCAGTTCCCTCCTTCCACCATATGGGTTCCTGGGATCAAGAACTCAGGTTATCAGGATTGGCAGCGAGCATCTTTATCTGCTGAGGCATCTTGCTGGCCCTAATTAACCTCTTTAACTAGTTTATTTCAAAAGAAATAAAGAGCACTGGTAATAATTACATAGATTTGAAAGCTGTATTGTACTTTGGCTTCTAATGTCTTTATTTTTCCTGATTACAAGAAAATGGAAAAATTATAATGTGTTTTTAATGAGCTTCCTTAAGATTGGTTTATATGCAATTCTTACATTCCGATGAATGAGTCATATTTTCCCGTTCTGTGTATCTTGTAAGTTTTTGTTGAGAACTAGGCATTGCTTTTTGTTGTTTTGTTCTTTTACCTTTCCAGACTGGTTTTAAAATTTACACACACACACACACACACACACACACACATATACACACACAAATGTCTTTTTGAGACAGGGTCTCCCTGTAGCCCCAGCTGGCCTGGAACTCCCTATGTAGACCAAGCTGGCCTTGAACTTACAGAGGTCCACCTGCCTCTGCCTCCCAAGTGCTAGGATTAAAGATGTGTGCCACCATCCCTGGCCTTTATTTTATGTTTATGAGTGTTTTGCCTATATATATATGTAAGTGCATCTGTATGCTCAGTGTCCACAGAAGCCAGAGAGGGTATTGGATCCCCTGGAATTGGAGTTACTGATGGTTGTTAGCTGCTATGTGGGTGCTGGGAACTGAACATGCCCTCAAGGGCAGCCAGTTCTCTTACCACTGAGCCATCTCTCCAGCTCCTCCATACTGTTTTGTAGTTGTGCAAATTAGTTGTGTGTGGCTGTTGACATTTCTATTTTATTATCTCTGTATTTAGTCAGTGACCTGACAAAGATTTTCTTAAATGCCTGGCTTCGAAAATTAAAAATACTTTAAAATTTGTCTAAATCTCCGAGTAGATGCTGATGTCAGATGCTGCCAGCAGGGCCATATCAAAGCAAGTATCTAGCCAAGCCCATAGGGCATCACCAGACCAACCAAAACACAGCCCCACATTTTAAGGACAAGAGTCCCTGTTATCTGCTCTGCTGTTCCAGGAGCAGAAGCTGAAACTGAAGTTGGGTGGAGGGAATGAGGAGAGGTATTTGGCTTGCACATAGTACTTACTTTAGAAAGATTAGTTGCTTCTCCCTTCTCCAAACCCTCCTCTGGCTGTTGTAAATGTCTCATTTCCAGAGTTCAAAGTAGTTGGTTACATTATATCTTTTCAGCTGGATGGTTGCTTCAGTAAACAGAGCTGGCTTCCTACTCTTGTGTGGCATCACCCCTGGTTATTTTTTCGTCTTTATTTCTTAACTATTACACTTTAGTGGCCTTTACTGTATAGCTATTAAATATATATAAAGAATATGGTATATTAAAGATGTGATAGTGATGCATGCTTACTTCTAAGTCCACTATAACCCCAAGTAGAATGTTCAACTTATAACTTCATCTGTTAAAACTGATTCTGTAAGGATATTAAAGTTTGAAAACAAGGATTAGTAACTGGAAATGTTATTGTTAAAATAATTAGTTCATGCAGCTGGAGAGATGGCTCAGCAGTTAAGAACACTGGTTGTTCTTATAGAAGACCCAGGTTCATATCCCAGCACCCACATGGCAGCTTACAGCTGTCTGTAACTCCAGTCCCAGGGGATCCGACAGCCTCTTCTGACCTCCACGGGCATTGCACAATACAAGTGCAGTTACCTATGTGCAGGCAATACACGCATACACATAAAATTTTTTTAAAAGTAAATAAAATTAAAATTAAAAAAATAATTAGTTCATATTGTCATTTTATCATCAGTTGCTAAGCATGTAGCACCCTGTATCTTAATATGTGTTTTATGTACACATTCCCAGAGACAATTCTGGGGGGCGGAGTCTCTTCTTATAGAAGATGAAACTAAGCCTATGGAGGCTTAACTATTCAGGTAAGTTGAGTCAAGCCCTCACTAATGGCTCTTTGCTGTAGTCTCAAAGGACTGAGAAATGCATATCCCACAATTTTCCTCGTGTATGACTGCCTCTTATCTGAGTTAGAGTGTTTGATTTCAAGGTCTTGTTTTCTTTCTTCAGGAATCTCATGCAATAGGAAAGAAACCTGAAAATCCAGCAGACAGGATTGAAGAAGGAGAGCTCATACTATCTGTGAATATCTTGTATCCGGTTATATTTAATAAGGTCAGTAGTGAAACCCTTGGCTTTCCTGGATGTTAGACTAGAACCTAGGGCTCTCAAGTGCACTAGGCAAGCACTTTACTGAGCTATATTCCTAGTCCCTATAAGTGACTTTTGACAGGGGTTCAATTTTTTGTTTCTTTGTTTGGGGTTTTTTGTTGTTTTTGAGATAGGGTTTCACTGTGCAGGCCTGATTCACCTGGAACTCCCTCTTTAGACCAGGCTGGACTTGAACTCACACAGATCTGCCTTGCCTCTGCCTCCTCAGTGCTAAGATTAAAGAAGTAGGCTACCTATCATGCCCAACTGGGTTTAATTATTTGAAGAATCATATTCCTTAGGTTTCAGAATAAATACAAGTATATATAGCCTGATGCCTTTTTTAGAGCTGACAGTGTTCTTGAGTTCTTTGTTTTAATAAGAAAAGTTCCAGCAAATTTCAAGTCAGGTTTCAAAAAAAGTCTCTTGACCATTGATTACAGTTATAATTTGGGGATGCAAAGCTGTTTTTGCACTAGAAGAAGATGTGTGTATACTCACTCAGGTGTGCATGCATATGTATATTGATTCTAATTGTATGGATTTTTTAGGGGTTTTTTGTTTTCTTATTCTCTTTTGTTTTTTGGTTTTCTGAGACAGTGTCTCCCTGTAGCCCCAGCTGGCTAGGAACTCACGATGTAGACCAGGCTGGCCTTGATCCCACAGAGAGCCTCCTGCCTCTACTTTCCCAGTGCTGGGATTAAAGAGATCTTGGTCTTTAGTTTGGTGTAGTTTTTTTGTTGTTTTGTTTTTCAAGTAGATGGCTGATAATAATTCAGATACCTTGGGAACTTATTAGACTAACCAATGACAGTTTTTCTTTGGAAATGCATAAATAAGGATACTCAGTAATTTCTTAGAAGTCTCTAGTAAAAACTCTATTCTAGCCAGGCATGGTGGTGCACACCTTTAGTCCCAGCACTCCGGAGGCAGAGGCTAGGAGATCTCTGTGAGTTCAATGCCAGCCTGGTCTACATAGTGAGTTCCAGGACAACTGGGGCTGCAAGGAGACCCTGTCTCAAAAAAAAAAACCTCTGTTCTATCTCAAAGTATATATATACCCCTCTCCTTCTTTTGCAATGCTAAGAATCGACTGTCGGGCCTTGCACATGTTAAGCATCAGAATATGTGTATATATATTATTGATTCTCCAAACAGATGTGTCCTAAACACATTTGAAATATTGTGCTTTATGCCAGGTGTAGTGGCACACGCCTGTGAGTTCAAAGCCAGCTGGGGCTACAGGGAGACAAAAAAAGAACCAAGCTGGGCATGGTGGCGCACACCTTTAATCCCAGCACTTGGGAAGCAGAGGCAGGAGGATCTCTGTGAGTTTGAGGCCAGCCTGGTCTATGTAGTGAGTTCCAGGCCAGCTGGGGCTACAAGGAGACCCTGTCTCAAAAGGACCAAAATACCTAAATATTGTGCTTTATTTGAAATACTGCTATACATAAATTGTACTTAAACAGGCTTTTTTTTTTTTTTTTGGTCTTTTTGAGACAGGGTCTCTCTGTAGCCCCAGCTGTCCAGGAACTCACTGTGTAGACCAGGCTGGCCTTGAACTCACAGAGATCTGCCTGCCTCTCCTCCCGAGTGCTGGGATTAAAGGCATGCGCTACCACGCCTGGCTTAAATAGTCTTTTATGAAGTGTCTTGGATATACTTAGTACTAATTGCCTTGTTTGAGATCTCAAATTACCAATTTAAAAATATGTACCCCACCCCACCCTGGCCTCTCCTGGGAGCTCCGGGAGTGGCTGCCTTCTTCTCCACCCGCCGAGATGGCGTTGGACCCCACAGCATCTGAGACATGTTGAAAAAGATGTTCTGATTCCAAAAATACTGAGAAAAGCACAGAGAGAGGTGTTCTGAACAAGTTGAAGATTTTACCAAATGCTGCAAAGATTCTGGAATCCTTACGGTAATAAAATGTCGGAAAGAAAATTCTGCATTGAAAGGATGTCTAACTCCTTACTATAATGATCCAGCCTTTTATGAAGAATGCAAACTGGAATATCTCAAGGAAATGGAAGAATTTAGAGAAACCGGAATTCCAGCCAAGAAAAGGCTACAGAAACTGCCCACGAGCATGTAGGCGAACATTCAAATGAGCCAGGAACTTGTATTTATGGAAGCTATTTATAAAATAAATCACCAGAAATAATGGACTGAAATAACATTTGCTTTATCCTAGTTATGAACATTTTGATTTTTTATTAAAAATCTTTATTTCTGAATTCTGGTTTATTAAACATAGGAGTGAAAACTAAAAATAAAAATATGTACCTTTTGGGTTTATAGCCTGGGCATAGGATGTAGGTTGCTGACTTGAGTGATGTAATTTCCAAGAAATGTTAAAAGGAACTGCTGCTGGATCAAGTTCTGTTTCGAAGGCTCTTAAGCCTTATGTCAGTTCAGTAGCAACTTGATTACAACATTTAGCTTAAAGTAGAAAAATTCTGTTGCCAGGTATCTCAGTTGTATGCATGGGATTTAAATTTGTGGAGATGATTGAGTGCTGACACAGATTATTACCATCAAAAACAAATTCATAGTAACATTTCCTAAGAAGAGAAGGCACATCACACTAGAGACGGCTACAAGGGATGCAGTGGTCTTAGTCTCAAAGGAGTGAGAAATGCACATGCCACAACTTTCTTAGGGGTTTCTCTAGGAAAGGCAAGGCAAGGCAGGGTAAACCTTCAGGGTTGGTTAGGTCATTCAGTGGGCTTCCTGGTGTAAATAAGACTGTCCTTTGGGAGCTGGAGACATAGCTCAGTGCTTAAGAGCACTGACTGCTCTTGGAGAGGACCCGGGTTTGATGCCCAGCACCCACATAGCCAACAACCATCTGTAACTCCAGTTCCAGGGAATCCAACACCCTCCTCTGACGTCTGAGGGCATTGCAGGACATGGGTGCACTTACATACACAAAGGCAGCACACTCATACACATAAAATAAAAATAATAAAAACATTTTTTAAAAACACTGTCCTTTGATGTCTGTTACCTAGTTTCTGGTTATTTAGGTTTATTGGGTGCTAGGGGAAATGCTGGGGAGTTAGATAAAAATAAAGAAGTGATTTTAGGATATGGACTCTGGATTGCAGGGGAATCACAAACACTGCCCCTGTCCCCAAGCTGAGAATTAGATCCAGAGTTTTGTGCATGGTAGGCACATGCTCTATCACTAAACTAAAATCCCAGCCAAACAACTGTTAGGTTGGTCTTCTAATTAATGGATGTGAAATAGAGAACTATAGAATCTAAGAAAATACAGAATGTCAACTCCTGAATACTACTTATTTATTTGTAGTACTATGGATCAAACTCAGAGCCTTGTACGTGCGAAGCAAGTGCTGTACTACTAAACTCAAGTGTCAGTCCAAGGGGACAGTTCAAATTGAGAAAATCAGTAATATTGTTTAGATCTGGTCTTCATAGGATTTGTAGTTTGTTTTTGTAAATAGACACTTATTTCTTTACTTTAGCACAGAGAACACAAACCATACCAGACGATGCTAGTATTGGGCAGTCAAAAGCTCACGGAACTGAGAGATTCTATTTGCTGTGTCAGTGACCTCCAGATTGGTGGAGAATTCAGCAGTACTCCAGACCAAGCCCCTGAGCACATCAGCAAAGTAAGGTGACCTCTCCCTTCCGACTTAAAAAGAAGAAAATAATAAGCTAAAGAAATAGTGATTACTAACAGGTTACCAGTGTTCCAGTAAACATTTTCATTTTCAGTGTGATTCCATTGAAATACTGCCTTTGTTATTTCCTTCTTTTCCGTCATTAGAACTTTTGCATAGAGGAAGCAATACTCTGATTTCCTCAGTTGTAATTTATTTCTCAACTGTTGTATGGCTGTTCTGAGGTAATACTAGCAACTCGGCTGTCTGACTAGTTGGTCTCTTTTCTTATAGTCTGACCTCACTGTAACTTGCTCATTTATTTACTTACATATTGTTTGACTCATTGATTCTTTTTTTTCTTTTGTGGGGTTTGGGGAGTGTCTTTTTGTTTTTGTTTTTAAATTTAATGTGTATGGGAGTGTTGCTTGCACCTGTGTTGTGCAGTGCCTGTGGAGATCAGAAGAGGGCGTTGGATTCCCCTGGAACTGGAGTTACAGATGGTTGTTAGCCGCCATGTGAGTGCTGGGAATTGAACCCTGGTCCTCTGCAAAGAGCAGTCAGTGCTCTCAACTGCTGAGCCATCTCTCCAGCCCTGGGGAGTGTTTTGTTGAGTTAGGGTCTCCCTGTAGCCCCAGCTGGCCTAGAATGTGCTGTGTATACTAGACTGGCCTCCATCTCACAGAAATCCACCTGCCTCTGCCTCCCCAGTGCTGGAATTAAAAGCGTGTCATCACTATGCCTGGCCTCAAACTGTTTTGTTGTTGCTAAGGATTAAGCCAAGCACTACCTGAGCTCTCTACTACTTAGTTACATCTCTCACTCATCGTAGCTTTGATTTTGCTATTCATTCTCTTGTTTCAAATCCTGTAAGAGTTTGTCATCGTCAGTACCTCCAGTAAAAGTTGGCCAAGAACCTCAGTAGTTCACACACCTTCTTTACTTTTCTGTGATACAGGACCTATCAGTATAAGGGCCACACAGCATATAGAGCTAATCCTTGCTGACGCCTCCTGATAGGGCACTCTCCACAAGACAGAAATCTTTGGGTACCTCTTGCAAAGGAGTAAAGTGTCAGGTTGTCTGCCCATAAAATTTTCAGAAGTGATGGCTTACCTAAGCCAACAGAAAGCCCCAATCTTGCTGAATTTCAACACAGGGTAAGATTGCACTGCCTCTGTTACTTGGTTCAACTTTGGTAGACATACTGGCTCATTTTAGGAGAGGGAAGTCTCTTTTAGTTTCATTCCCAAGTTAATATTCCTTAGAACTCAGCCTTTACCTTTGCACCTGATTCTTTACCACAGTGAATTTGTGTCTGTCTTCTTCAGTCATTTCATACTTCTGTTTCACTATTTCAACATGGGAAGAATCATCACCATTTTACAGGGGGAAAAAAAAGCACAGCCATGAGGTGCTCAGGTGCAGCAAGCAGGGGCAGGCGTGGGGTCTTCAGATCCATGTCGTTTCCCTTCAGGCCCCACATTGATTCTGTCATGTTGCTGGCATATGTCTAGCTATAGATTCTTTCCCTCTCATTTTGTTAGTTGGTGAACAGGCACTGAGTGACACCTTGAATAAGCCTGTGATTAAGATAACACCAGCAATGCTAAGCATGGTGGCACATACCTTTAGCCCAAACACTCTGGAGGCAGAAGCAGGTAGAGGCCAGCCTGATCTACATAGCAAGTTCCAGAGGCCAGGCATGGCTACATAGTGAGACTGTCGCAAAAGACAAACAAAAATACACCAGCAAGTTTCTATCACGTGGGCTTTATGGGATTTTTGTCTGCTCAGAAGCCTGTTGTTTGCTTCTTGTTCTTTGTGGTTTGTAGAAATGTATGCATAGTATATTTTTGGAGTTGATAAGTATTTAGAAGGGCAGATGCATATGAATGAGGTATCAGCTGATACTAGCTTCTTTACGAGCCTTAGACTTTTATTTCTTTGGCATTTGTATTTTATACTGTTGTGGTTTTGTCCCCCCTTGTAAGGTTCTGTTGGAAAATTTCAAGCATATAATCAGTATAGAGAATAATGTAATGAACCCTATGTATCCATTACCTACAGTCAGTATCTCAGATTCCCTGCAAATATTTCATGTGTTAACACTATTGTTACACCAAAGAAAAGTGAAAAGAAGCCCATGAGTTCTAATATTTTTATTGACAGGGATATTTTTTGGCATATGTGCCACTGCCGATTGTGGAACAAATTAGGGAGTGTTCTTACAGCTGAGAAGTCTTAACAGTAGGCTGGGCTATTAATAAAGTTCCAAAATTACCTGTGTGATAGGACTCTGGAGTTACTCCAGTGTGTGAAGCTTTAAAGTATAAAAGCATTTGCTAATATTTTTTTTCCTGGAGTTGGAGAGATGGCTCAGTGGTTAAGAGCACTGACTGCTTTGCAAAAGATTCTGGTTCAAATCCCAGCATCCACACAGTGGCTAACAATTGTTCATAACTCCAGTTCCATGAAATCTGATGCCCTCTTCTGACCTTCACAGGCATTGCATGACATGGGTACACACGTGCAAGCAATACACTTACACACATAAAATAAAAATAATAAATTTGTTTTTTTGCTAATTTGCTTGAGAATGGAATGTATTTTTAAACAAACATAAAACAGTGCTAAAACATTATCCCTCATGTTTTAGTGTCTTATCTAGTTCCGTGTGTGTGTGTTGTTTTGCTTTGTTTTTTGAGATTTTTCTTTTTCAGTGCTGGGGCCTTGTACCTGCCAGGCAGGCATTCTACCATTGCACTAAATATCTAACCACTAATGCCAGGTCTATCTACACATTTTTAATTTGCTCAGCATTTCCCTCACAGCAGATAGTAAAAACGCCTCTGAAGTTCTAATGTAGTTGAGTTGAATTGCTAAAAGTAAATGACTACCAGATGACCTAAAGTTGTATCTAAGTGATGACTGTCAAAATGACCGTTCTGATTGTAAGTAGAAGTAACTCGTTACTCTAGTTTTTCCATGTTGATTGGTACATTTCCTCCTCTTAGCTGAGGTACTAACAAAATGGGGGCGGGGGTAGTCATTGCCCCTGGTTACTACTGGAAACCAAAATTCACTAAGTCATTGTTACTGGTATTACTCATATTTTGATACCTGTTTTGGTTCTAGATTGGTGAGAGGGTGGACTACAGGGTCTTTCCAGTACAGCCCATGCTGGTTCTGACTTGTAACCTTCTACTTTAGCCTCACAAGTGCTGAGGTTACATGTGGGCACCTTAAGCCTGGCTATATACAACCTATTTGTATACTGAAGTGAAGAAACACTATTAATGGGTGATGTTTTGGCAGAAATCATTTTTGTTCTTTTAGAGTTCACCCTATAAATTAGTAATTATGTCCAAAGGCATCAAGTTGCTTAAGTTACTTATGAGCTATACAAGTGCTATTTTATAATGAACAAAATTATATCTTTTTTTTTTTGTTTTTTTAGACAGTCTCACTTTGTAGTCCAGGCTGGCATCAAACTCACAGCAATCCTCCTGACATAGTTTCCTGAATGTTGGGATTACAAGCTTGTGCCACCATGCCCAGCTCTAGAACATAGGTCTTTTAAAACTTTTATTACATTTTTATGTATTGGTGAGGGATATATGCATGCAACAGCCCATGTGTGGTCAGAGGACAACTTTCAGGAGTCAGTTCTTCCCTTCCTCTATGTGAGTCCCCGATCTCAAACTCGGGTCTGTCAGGCTTGGTGACGTTCACTTTGCCTGCTTAGCCATCTCGTTGGTGGCAGAATCTTTAGACTCTAGCTTAGCTTTGAGTGTTTAAGAAGCACTTGGGAGGCAGAGGCAGGCAGATCTCTATGAGTTCAAGGCCAGCCTGGTCTACATAGTTCCAAGACAGCTGGGGCTACAGGGAGACCCTGCTTCAAAAAGACCAAAAAAATTTTTTATATATATATGGATATGGATGACTACAGCTCTGCACACGTTATCCTAGCACTTGAGAAGAAAAAGAAGTATTATTATGGGTATTATTATTAAATGATAGTTTTGTGTCCTACAAGCCAGACATGACATTAAGTACTTTATATCTTCTTATCCCTACAACAAGTTGTGAGGAAGACAGTGACTTCTACAGTAGGATTATGAACAACCCTTTTGATGACGTCTGATGTGAAAGTTCAGAGCCTGAGGGTTAAGACCACTACATGGGGCAAGATTATATAAGAATAGAAATTCACATTCTCTTTGCCTCAGAGTTATTGAAAATATAAAGGTTTTGTAAAAACACATTGAAAATACAAGAAATGCCAGAAAAACTTTGTTATTACTAGGGAAACATCTAAGGTTGCTGTATAATTCTAATTCTAATATCCAAAATAACTGTTAATACAGTCTGTGCACATAATAAAATAATAATGAAACTGAGTTGATGTGGATTCCTTTTATGAATCCCAGAAAAAACAAATTTAAGTCAAGCCTAGTGATTAAAACAACAGGATAAGATTGAAAAGAGCCAAGTAAAATCTAAGCAAATTTGTTCCCTTAGCATTCTGTGAAGCTCTGTAAAGTTAACAGTGAAATTTTTTTTAAGAGCAAGTAAGCAAGGTTTCATTGAAAGTAATCTAACAACTCCCTACATCAGGGAAGGCTGCCAGACGTGGGTTACTCAATATTAGTGTGATTTTTATGATATATTAATTTTGAATGAATATTTGAATTGTTAAGAATGGACTTTCTTTCAATACCATCTGTTTTCTTGCAGGACCTGTACAAATCAGCTTTTTTTTATTTTGAAGGAACATTTTACAATGACAGAAGATACCCGGAATGCAGAGACTTGAGCAGGTATAGTTCCCCAAGTCTTCTAAGTCTTTATTTCTAGGTCTAAAATTAGTGACAGCTCCACAAATGATACTACTGCATTTTTAAGAGTTTTTTTGTTTTTTGTTTTTTTGTCAAGGCAAGGAATCATAAGTTTTGTATTGAATGTTGCATACATCTAAAAAAACAATTAAATCCCACTAAGGTACTTACCAATCTCAGGTCTTTGTATTTAGGTAATAGTGGTAATCTTTCGGTATTTTTTTCCTGCTTGTATATTGTTTGCCCTGTGTGGGTGGGTAGACAGATGAGTGTGTGTGTGTGTGTGGCGGGGGGAGGGGGGGGTTGCTTAGGTTGATAAATATGGAAATTCATCTCTAATAGCATTTTATTGACACATACTTCATTAACAGTGACCCCAGTCTCTTGTGCTCTGGGATTATAGGCATGCACCACCACTCCTAGCTTTCATAATCATTTCTCATCCACATTTTAATGTAGTTCTCATATTCGTTCTCAGCTCTCCTTAATAATGTAAATAATTGAGGGCCCCTAGGGGTTATAGCTGTTAGTACTTACATATATACAAACTGAACTAAGAAATATTAATTATTGGGGCTGGAGAGATGGCTCAGTGGTTAAGAACACTGGTTGTTCTTGCAGAAGACCCGGGTTCGAATCTCAGCACCCACACGGCAGCTAACAACTGTCCGTAACTCCAGTCCCAGGGGATCCGACCTCTTCTGACCTCCACAGGCATTGCATGACACAGGTGCACTTACCTACACGTGGGCAATACACGTATACACATAAAATAAAAATAAATTTAAAAAAGAAATATTACTAAAATACTAAAATGTAATTATGAAAAGTCTCATTGCCAGCATTTTTGGAAACAGAGGAGGGGCACTGCTGCACTTACATTCATGCTGAAGTGGTACACGTTATGTAGTGTAGCTACCAGAAAACTGGTTGTTTATAGAGGAAAGGGGCAGATAGGTCATTTGGGCCTCACAGATCACACTTTGAGAACTGCTGCTCGGTTAGATAAAGAAAAAGTCAGTGTTCTAATCCAAGAATTTATTAGCCACCACCATCTTCTCAGATGACAACCATCCATTTAATTGGCAGGCTCTGTGTCCTGACAGTTGTCCAGATTTAATTGTCCAGATTATGTGAAATATAGGCATATCTTTTTAAGTTTTTGAAAAACAATGCCATATCTTTCCCTTTCCCCCTCACAGAACTATTATAGAATGGTCAGAGTCCCATGATAGAGGCTATGGAAAATTTCAGGCTGCCAGAATGGAAGATTTCACCTTTAATGACTTGAATATTAAACTTGGCTTTCCTTACTTATACTGTCACCAGGGAGACTGTGAACATGTTGTTGTCGTTACAGACATAAGGTAAGTGGCAGCACAAGAACATTTTTGTTACTCAATTTTCTTTCTCCTTTAATTTTTTACAAGTTTTTTTTTTTTTTTTTAAGTGGGAATGGGTGTGTGTGTCTTGCCACAGTGCACTGGTGAAGATCAGGAGCTCAGAGGACAACTTGTGGGAGTCACTTCTCTCTACCATATGTGTCCTGGGGACTGAACTCAGGTCAGGCTTGGTGGGAAGCACCTTTAACCAATAAGCCATCTTGCTGGCCCCCTTTCTGTCTTTTACATTACAAAAGTATAAGTAATTTAATGGGGGCTGGAGAGATGGCTCAGCTGTTAAGAGCACTGACTGCTCTTGCAGAGGACTCAGGTTCGATTCCCAGCACCCACATGGTGGATTCAAACCATCCTTAACTTCAGTTCCAGGGGAATCTGAAGCCCTCTTCTGACCTCTGTAGCATTGCATGACACGGGTGCACTCACTCATAACGTCAGGCACATAGACCTTTTCAAAAAACCAGAAAACAAGGCTGGACTTGGTGTTGCACACCTTCAGTCCCAGCACTGGGAGGCAGAGGCAGGTGGATCTCTGTGAGTTCAAGGCCAGCCTGGTCTACATAGTGAGTTCCAGGCTACCTGGAGCTACAGGGAGACCCTGTCTCAAAAAAATGCTTTAAAAAAAAAAAAATAGAATTAAAGGAATTGTCACTGTAGCTTGACAGCAGCAAAAAATACCAGGTTTCCATAGTGGAAAAATGAATGTACTCTCCAGTGTTATTTTGGAAAATCCATAAGTATTTATTGGAGGTTTAAAAGTCTGTAAATATTTTTTAAGTATCTAGATTTGTACATTAAATTATTAGAGAATTAAAGGTTTCCAAGTATGTCTTATTTCAATTTGTGCCATTAGAGTTTTGTGGGACTGGACAGATTACTCAGAGGTTAAGAGTATTTACTGCTCTAGCTGAGGACCCATGTTCAATTCCCAGCACCCATGTGGTGGTTTACAACCACCAGTATGTAACTCTAGTACCAGGATCCAGCACCCTCTTCTGGTCTGCACAGGCTCCTACACACACTTGTGCCCATACAGGCACACACATACACAAATGCAAGAATCTTTAAAAGAAACTGTGTTAGCAGTCATCTCCATTGTCTGCTTTCCACACTGGAACTGTATTCCTAGGACACTGCTAGGATCTTTGGTTTTTTTGTGGTGCTAGGACAGAGCCTGGAGCCATATGCACACTAGGCCCATGCTCTGCCAGTAAGCTTTAATCCTGGGCTTCTTCATTTTTTTTTTTTCTTCCCAAAATGTAAAGGATTTAGGAGCTAAGAAAATGATTCTCATATTTCTCCAGGTATTAAATGCTTTAATAAAGATTTAAATTGGAAGATGTTAATCTAAATGGGCTTGGCGATTGATATTTTGTGTAACTGATATCTGTTCCTCATGTGGCTGCCTGCTTCCTGTTTAGGAACTAGTTTAAGAAGGCTCAACAGTCCCCAGTACTCAAGAGACAGGGCAGACGGATTTCTGAGTTTGAGGCCAGTCTGGTCTACCTAGTGAAACCTTATCTCAAAAAAGGATCAGTATGTGAGAATAAACCCTACCCTTATTGCTTTTATTGATTCCTTCTGAATCAATTTCAGGAAATTAGTGAAAATTTCTAGCGATGATGTATGTAGCCCATGTGCCAGTGCTGATTCTTCAAAAGTTCCTGCTTACACTTCTTTGGGGGCTTAGTGACATCTACAGAATTTTATAGCCCTTATACTCAGTCTCAGATAGCTATCACAGAGTAAACTATAATAAAGACGTAGGATGCCATGCAGAATAGTCAGTAGACAAAAGGAAAATCTTAGAACCATGAGATGATGAAATCCATATATGGCGGCTGTGTAGTAGACCTAGAGAATAATCTGGAGACTAGAGCCATATGCATGGTTTAAGAAGTTAGTTTGCTGGGGCTGGAGAGATGGCTCAGCGGTTAAGAGCACTGACTGCTCTTGCAGAGGACCCAGGCTCAATTCCCAGCACCCATATAGTGGCTACGAACCATCCTAAACTCCAGTTCCAGGGGAACCCAAAGCCCTCTTCTGACCTCCATGGCACTGCACGACACAGGTGCACTCACATACATGCAGGCAATACACTCATACATGTAAAATAGAAATATTTTTTTAAAAAAGTTAGTTTGCTGAAATCTTTTGTAAGGAAAAGTAAAAAAAAAAGCCAACTGTGTTCCTAACATTGAAAAACAGGCATACTACAGTTTGCATTCTAACATCATCTTTATTTCTCATATAAAGGCTTGTCCATCATGACGACTGCTTGGATAGAACACTTTATCCCCTTCTTACCAAGAAGCACTGGCTGTGGACCAGAAAATGTTTTGTTTGTAAAATGTATACAGCTAGGTGAGTGATAGCTGTTTTTCCTTTGAGAAGTAGTGGTAACCAAGTAATCAAGCACTTTGGGTATTTGATTAGTCTTAGGTTTCAGAATTTCATCTAGTAAGTGCTACACTGTCAGTTCAGTTGATTAAAATTTGCATTTTGTTTTGTGCTAATGACTAACCCAAAGCCTCTTGCCTGCTACTAAGCTTGTGCCCACTGGGCTACAACCCCCATTAGCATTTTAAAACAAGGAAATTCAGAGTTCAGCAGAGCAGACTCCAGGATTGAAACAATGTGTAGAGAACCATGTTCTGTTCCTGTTTTTCCTCAGTACAAGTATCAGCCCATCATATGCAGTGAAGCCAGAATAAGGTTTCATAAATTCTGGACCAGGCATAATGACACAGCCTGTAATCTGTTACTCAGGAGGGTGAGGCAGGAAGGGTCTTAAGTTTGATGCCAGCCTAGGCAATATAAGACCCATATCGCCAGGATAAAAAAAGTGATGGGAGTGTATCTCAGGGTTAGAACACATGCATGTTGCAAGGCTCTTGGTTCAGTCTTGAGTGCTGTCAGCATTGTTTTCTTAAAACAGGGTCTCATGTAGCCTATATGCTGGCCTCAAACGAGCCAAGTGAACAAGAAGGACCTTGAATTGCTGATACTCCTGCTTCAGCCTCTTGGGTGCTGGGTTTATAGTTATGAGATGGTTACTGTGAACCAGTGAAAAGTTAAACTACTCAGAAATAACCCTAACCCTTACGTTCCCCATCATATTTTCTAAAGGATCATTGGGAAAATATTATCAGTTATCAGAACCAGGAATAGAACTTCACACAAGATGCAGAATAAAATTAGACTAAAATGTTAAATATGATAAACAAAAAAAGAAAATTTCAGGGCTGGATATGGCTCAGTGGTTAAGAGCACTGGCTGCTCTTGTAGAGTTCAGTTTCTAGCACACACATGGCGGCTCACAACCATCTTTAACTCCAGTTTTAGGGGGATCTGATGCCCTCTGGCCTTTGTGGGCATTGCATGTATGGATACACTTACATATGTGTAATCATACATGTAAAATTAAATTTTTTAAAAGGTAAACTAAAAAGATTGCACTTTATCTGCCAGTCTAAAGATGTTCCTGTTTCCAAATCACCCAGTACTCATTTGTTTATTAGTTTAAAAAGGTGAATGGTCCCTGTGCAAGGATGACATGCAAATTAATTCGATGACAGAAAAGTAATCTGTCATTGCCAATCATTTGATACATTGTAAACTAACTATATAACTACCTTGGATGTGGCCACTGCACCTTCTATACATGTGATATTTGTACTTTAAATATGTATAAATTTGAATCATTTAATAAAATAGCTGTATTTGTTGGTACATGTCTACAATCCCAGCACTGTGGAAGCTGAGGCAAGAGAATCAGGAATTTTAAGGTGAGCCTGGACTACACAGTGAGACCTTGTCCTCAAAAATAACAGCATTTTTAAAGTTATAAAGTTAATTAAGGAAGTCTGCTGGGTCTGTAGCATGTAGTATGGTTTTCCGGCAAAATGAAGATGTAAAGTTGCTTGGAGGGCAGATCTTGGCAAACCTGTGTGGTGCTTTCAAACTAGATCATTTACTTACCTTTATGAGGAAATCTTAGGGCTGGGCGTGGTGGCACATCTTTAATTCTAGCAACTGGGGAGGCAGAAGCAGGTGGAGCTCTGAGTTTGAGGACTGCTGGGGTTACCCTCCCTCCCTCCCTCCCCCCAAAAAAGAGAAAGAACTCTTAGACAACAGTATTCTGAAATGTTTCCTATTAGATAGATGCCCCTATTATACGTGCTGGTGTGACTGATAAAACAACAGTAGGAATGTTTACATATTAGAAGTCATAGTTACAGCATGTTGAAGCATGAAGAACCTAACTGTAATATACTCTCTTTCTTTTGAGAAAACTACAGATGGGTGACCAACAATGACAGTTTTGCACCAGAGGATCCATGTTTCTTTTGTGATGTTTGCTTCCGAATGCTCCACTATGATTCAGAAGGCAACAAACTGGGAGAGTTCCTTGCTTATCCTTATGTTGATCCTGGAACCTTTAATTAGTACCACAGAAATACAAAAGTTTAGATATGTTAAATTATTTCATTTAGTATTTTTTTTTGCAAAGTTTTTTTTATCGTGTGCTTTTTAACTAAGTTATATGACTGCGATAAATGCTTTTATGTATTATGGATATATAAACCTTTTGTTAGAAACTTGATTTTTTTCCCCGAGTCCATAGTTTACCTATTCATTCTGTATCCCAAATGGTTTTTGGTAATGACAGAATGCCATTTACAGTGCATCAAGTGTGGATAGTGTTTCGACCAATCTTTGAAGAATGTGAAAGCTGCACCTTCTACTATGACGCTTCCAAGGTAAAGATCCTTCAGATATCTGTAATGAAAATTAAGAAGAAATTAAAAACAAATATTCGATAAGCACTACAAAATTAGGAGTAGCTATAATTTAATTTCAGACTTGTGGTAATTCTTTTTTTCTAGGGTAGAAACTAGGAATCACGTAAACATCTTAAGCATGTGCTCAAAGTGTTGTTCAAAATAAAACCTCGTTTCTCAATAAAGAATCACAAGTGCGGGGCTGGAGAGGTGGCTCAGCAGTTAAGAACACTGGTTGTTCTTGCAGAATCCTCGGGTTTGAATCCCAGCACCCACATGGCAGCTAACAACTGTCTGTAACGCCAGTCCCAGGGGATCTGATCTGACAGCCTCTTCTGACCTTGGGCATTGCATGACAGGACTCTACTTTCCTACATGCAGGCAATATACGCATACACATAAAATAAGAATTACAAGTGCATCAAGTTGAAACCCTTATTTCATGTTATGATTAGAGAAAACAATAGCATGGGAACTTGGAGACCTGGAAAAATCAAGATCTCATGCCAGGCGTGGTGGCCCACACCTTTAATCCCAGCACTTGAGAGGAAGAGTTTTGAGGCCAGCCTGGTCTCCATAGCAAATCCGGGCCAGCTGGGGCTACAGGGAGACCCTGTCTCAAAAAAACAAAAACAAGATACCATGGATTGCTATCTTGGCTCGCTCACTCTTCAGGAGCGTGTAAAAACTGACAAGAAGTTGTTTTCTGGCTCAATTCCAACTTCAGCATTCTCCAGTCCTCTTACTATAACAATTCCCATTATTCTGATCAATGGGGAAAAAACAAAAACCTTTTAGCCAAATTCCAATTGAAATGTTTTGAGAAACTTTTGGGGGTAGAACTGTATAGGAATGCTATAAAATAGACTATTAAATTTTACTTTCTCTCTCCTAGGTTTAATTTAAATTCAGCTGAATTTTACATTTCTCTGGATGGCTAAGAACAGACACTTACCACATAAATAAACCCATGAAGCCTACAAATCTGTTTAAAAGATTGAGTGACGTATATTTCATGGACTTAAATGTCACATATCCAATTAAGGCAACTGATGTGGCGATGACAAGCGCCTGCTTCTGGTATGTCTAGAAGATTTCTCATTCGCCACTCTGCGCACAGACAGCACCATGTGCTCACTCCATGGCCCCCTTACATTATGCCTAAAGGTTTATTTTACATTCTTGTAGCCAGTGGTTTTAACATCAAGTACACTGAAAATTCTGCTGCAAAATCATACATTCATGATGAGTCATTTGCACAATTCCCAAAGTTATTTTTTATTCTTTTATTTTTAATATGGCAATTTTCATGAGTCTTAATCTTACCTCAAAACAATAAATTCCAGAAATTACCCAAATACATGCGTAATGCCATTCACCCCATTTTAGCAGAAAAGATGACAACAGATAAAACCTTACGGAATTCTTATTTCATCACTTATTAAGAATGCTTTTCTGCTAGGTCTTTGGGTTAACTTTTTCACTAAAAGCTCACATACCTTTCCTTTATTCTTTCTTGGTAAAACTGAGGAAACGCTAACCAGGTTACCACAACTTGCCAGCGTGTTACTTATCTGTTAATATATGTATCCCAAAGTTCACATTAAAAGAATTTCAGCTTACAAGCTTTAAAATCCCTGATTTAAGACAGTTTTACTTTATGCTACTGTCATAAAGGAGAGGTAAATATGAAAACGTAGTATGTAAAGAACATCCTCGGATACACCTGCACAAGATTACTATACAGGGAAATAGCTGTTTCCTCAAACATCTTGCTCAGGGTGAGGGGCAAGGGGTGTCAATCATCTTTATACAAGAAAAATTTCATCACATTTTTAGTAACTTCTTCATTTCTTAAAAGTCTAAAGCTACAGGTTTGCTATTTTTATTAGGTAGTCCATCCTTGGACCATTTGAAAAAATGTGTATAGGATTAGGTGGCAGACCTCCTCCTCACCTGGCATCTTTAATCAGGTAAGTGGGTCTGAGTAGGAACATTTTTAGTGTACCACGTCACTGTCTCAACAAAAACTGGGCAAAATCTTTCTTGCTAGAATAGTGTAATGTGGTTAATTCTGGTTAAATCTTTCATACCTACAACCTCCCAATCAAAGTCCCTAAAAATGATCCAAGCAGCTGAGAAAACCAATCAACATTCACATTTCTAAATGCTAGCCATGAATGCACATTGTACATATCAGGAGGGGTTATGTGTGGCTGTGTCACTGAAATGATCTCTTGCTGTCATTTTAATCAAATGTAACAAATAGAGCCAGTGACACTGAAAGTTCATGGTAGCTGTCTGTAAACTTTGTTCTGAAAATAATACCTGTATGAATTAGCCTATGACATACAATTTCAAGATTGAAAAGAAGATAGCTGCACTTTGAAAGAACATACACAAGAAGGTAAAAATTAGCAGAAGGTTGCTGATATTTTGGGAGTATTCTGTAGCTTCTTCATAAAAACTACATCTATTGGATCATGACCGAGAAGGGAAAGTGAACAAAAATGCAAGGGACATTTCCTTTTCTCTGTGTTATCTGAGCTTACCATTTAGCCCTGAACCCAAAACAGGATCTCAGGGGCAAGCTAAGGAGGAAATTTCATTAGCAGCAAATCCTGAATTCCTTCAGTAATTCTAAAATAGCAAAGAAGTAATTTACTAAGAGTTTGATAGAAAAATTCTTTAATTAAAACAAGTTTACACGTTGACACTTATGGCTTAACTAGAATAAATTCTGTCCAAGTTTAAAATTGTATTAAGGACAAAGCAGATGACTGGTGTATATATAATGTACAGTTTCCTCAAAACAGTAGTTCCATTATAAAATCTCTCAAAAGCAAAAATCCAATTATTGAAGTAATTCAAGAATTTTACATATAAATAAAACAATTATCTGAGCAGTCAGAGCATATATAATCACACCACACATGAACACTGGTATTAAGTCACTTTCGCATAAAACTTCAAAATATAACAATGACTCTTTCTTCCTATTGAAAACCACCAACTGACCAATACTAAGAACATCTTTGAAATGCTATCAGTTTGTTTGTGTTAACATTGGCTCACTCCAATAGTCCACACAGAATATTCAATTACTTACTACCTTAAGAGCAACAGAGGTTTCTATCTTGTTTGTAGTTTTAACTTCTGTATCATACATGTAAAAGGATAACAAATTCCATTTCAATATGGCCATGTTTTCAAATAGGTTACTTTCCTTATATATCATATTTACCATACAAACATCATAGATTTTTCCAATTAAAAAAAACAAAACACTGTGACCTTCTTGATGAGTGTGACTTAAAAAGCTTAGAAACTTAAGATTAAAAATGAAACTGGTTTTCAGCTTTTATCACTAGTGCCTGTAAAGTATCTTAGTTTGTTGAAACCTAAAACCAGATTAATTCCCTATATATACCCAGTCTGTTCTCTTTAGTTGTATGACTTCACTGAATTCCCAGCCATAAAACTAAATTACTTTCAAAAGTTACATTGTACTTTCTAGAACTATCAGTTCAACATCAGTTGGACATCTAGTTGTCATACAGACCACACAATGTTACAAAGAGGCAGGGTAATGCAGCACAACGTAGACTGAGGTTGAAGCTAACTTTTATCAAAGGAGGGAGTGAGGACTTAGAAGTAACATTCATTTTATCAACCGTAAAAATGCTCAACTTGTACAAAACCCACAAACAGTGAAAAGAAGGGTCTGGGAAGTTCAAGGTTTGTAACAACTATGCACAAAATGCACTGTTACTGGGGAGGGGGAAAGATTTATACAAGTAGCAGTTTTTAAAAAATGCAACTGTTCTATTACACATTAACATACACACACAAATTGAAAATATGCTACAGCGGTATCTAAAAGGCAGTCTAACATTTTCTAAGTGGATCTCCCTACACTTACTATGTAACGTAGTTGTTAATACTGCACAAATACAGTTAGCGATGTTTAATTTTACATATTGGTAAAGGGATTTTCTTTCCCCAAACAACTTAAACATCAAAACCTATGCTTATAAAAATTTAAAACTTTCAGCAATCTAAATATTTCAAATGAGAACCATTACGAATTTCTCAAATGTCCTTGACATTTCAGGTATGTCAACCTAGTTATCTAGTGTAGAATCCTTCAGAGATAGTTCACTCTCTTTCTCTTCTCCAGGTGGCCTAAAATAAAGGGAGAAAAGAAAACTGTGACAACCGGGACTGGGGTTTTTCTCCTAGGGAAAAAGGCCAGTAAATCTGCATTCTACTTTTTAAAATGACAAAATTACCACTGACTTGTTATAAATACACATTATTCTTTTCTTTTTCGGTCTTTTTGAGACAGGGTCTTCCTGTAGCCCCAGGACTGTAGACCAGGCTGGCCTTGAACTCAGAGATCTGCCTGCCTCTGCCTCCTAAGTGCTGGGATTTGAAGGCGTGCACCGCACCACCACACCCTGCCTGTCACTATTAAGAAAAATTTTATTTACCATGTTGTATCTTACCAAAGTACTATGCAGATTTAGCAAGATAATCCAGGGAAGCATCCTAGATAGATCAGCTTTAAACTGAGTTTTCTGGGGCTGGAGAGGTAGCTCAGCAGTTAAGAACACTGGTTGTTCTTGTAGAAGACATGAGTACGAATCCCAGCACCCACATGACAACTGTCTATTAAAACTCCAGTTCCAGGGGATCCGACGGCCTCTTCTGTCCTCCGCAGGCGGGCACAGGTGCACCTACCTACATGCAGGCAATACACTCATACACATAAAATAATAAAATATTTTAAACTGAATTTTCCTTAAATAGTAAGAATTCTGATCTGTGATCTCAACATAAAATAAGAACTAGACAAATACAGATTACAGTATAAAACACTGATTCTACAAATGTGTATCTAATGCCAACAGAGGTTAGAAGAGGGTGTTGGATCCCTCTTCTACATCCCTCATCTTTTCCAGATGGTTATTAGCTGCCATATGGGCACTGGGAACTAAACCTGGGTCATCTGCAAGCTCAGCCAGGTTCTTAACTGTTGAGCCATCTCTCCATCCCCCTCTACGAAGTTTTAATACTGTCCCCTCACAATTCAATAAAGGATGAAAGATACTATCAAAGAAGTGAAAAGCAATTACTATTTTCTTTCACTGAGTTCTCTCCTAGATTTCCCTGAATACAGAGACAGTTTAACTGTCTATAAACTGTAATCCTAGCACTCAGAAGACAGGCTGGAGAAACACCACAAGTTAAACAGATTGGGCTATGTAGTAAGACCCTGTCTCAAAGTGTTTTACTCTTCCATTTTTGTTGTTTTCTGGTGCTGCTGTTGAACCAGGACCTCAGCCATGAGCTCTGCCACTTCTACCTTTCTGATTCACAACTTGTTAAAATTTTTGCTGGGCATATATATATATAGCTCAGTGAGAAAATGATTGAGGCCTGACCCCCATGTGCACACACATAAACACATAGAAGAAATTCAGTGACTCTTCCCTTATACTAATGACTTTTGGTCAATACTGTGATTAAAACCATGATTAAGAAAAACACTTGTCAGGCACAATGATATACGTCCCAGCACCTGGAGAAGTGGAGAGAGGAGGATCTCTTGGGCCCAAGAACTTGGAGCCAGCCTGGGCAACAGAGCAAGACCCCTTGTTTTAAATAGAAGTAAAACACACATGAAGACCCATTAAAACACATCCTCACTTTTTCTTACTGCTGGCCTCATGGCTGTCTTTGCTCTCTTCATGACTATCACCATTATGTTGTGGATGATTATTGTCTTGAGCATCTGATCCACCATTTAGAGTCTTTGAACCTTTAGAAGAATTCCAAAAGAAAAACTGTTAGCACCTATAAAAACCATACCTGAAAGTTGTACTCTAGAAACTAAAAGTCAGAGCATGGCCCTCAAATTTCTAGCACCTTTTTCTATTGTAATTCAACCTTTTAATACATTTTAAGATTGAGTTTTGATGCCATTTCAAAAGTAGTAATGAATTTGTTAATGCTAACTCCTAGTACCACCAGACGTCTTCAGTAGCTACGGCACAACAGGAAACAGGAGTGGTACATTTCTTAAGGTATGAATGAATTGGACTACTAGTCTCATTATTGCTATTACAATTAGGAAGGTCACAAAGTGGAAGTGGTAACTCTTTAGCAATCAGGACTTAACACTTCTTAAATCGAACTTTTTATTAGTGATCTTTTAGAAAAAGTGCTCAAAATACTCTCCTAACACATGGTATTACAGGATATTTTCCTGTAAAAGTCTTTCAGTTTTTGTGAGCCAGCCTCCTGGTAGCTTTAGCTGGCCTAGACTTGACCAGGCTGGCTTCAGGCTCAGAGATCCACCTGCCTCTACCTGAGTGCTTAGCAAAGGTGTGTGCCCTCATGTCCAGCTTTCCTGTAAATTTTAATAAATCTCTAAGGAGTCTGGGGGTGGGGTGCAATTGGCCTTTTCAAATACTTGTTTTTACCATAAGCAGCTGCCAGTTAAAGTGCTAACACAGGATTGGGAGGGCTGATAATGGCAGTATGATTCTACTACAGTCTTTCATAGGTAAATTTTGAACTTCAGTTGGTGAGCAGTATGCTTACAATTTGTTTTTAAATAGTCTTTAGGGATGACACAAAGGTAATTTATGGGGTACAAATCCAAAATAACGATGTACAGATTGAGCATCCCTTTATCCACCGTGCTTGGAACCAGCAGTGTTTTGGATTTACATGTGCCATATCTTTGTATGGGACCAAAGTTTAAACATGAATTTCATTTATGCTTCATATGCATTTTATACATATAATGTCCAGGTAATTTTATACAATATTTTTCATCACTTTGTACATAAAGCAAATTGAGACGTTGAATCATCGCTAAGCAGTGGTGTATTAACAACATCTTAGCCATCTACTGGATAATCTGTAATTGACTGTCATCACCATCTTTACTGACCCCATCTATATACTACTGATAAGCATCTCTTTAAAATAGAATGCTGCTTAGATTTAGCCGTAAGCACTTAACAATGAAAAGACACATACTATTTACAACAGTAAAAAATATATATTCAGGGTAACTAGGCAGCACTAATATCAGAATTCATGTTGCCTATGAATAACAGCAACAAGAGAAGACATTCTCATGGATGGCTTTTTCAGAATTTCCCCCAAACTAGCCTGCCTCATTAACAGTGGTTTTCTTGTTAGAAGATGCTTTGAACTCATAAATGGACAGGACTTCTTACTCTGTAATGAATGTGTGCTGCTCCAGTCCTTCCAAAAGCCTGTCATGTGTTTTCACCAGCTTGTCTACAGGCACTCAGTCCTTGCTGCTTTTATAACCATCACCCTGCCTCGAACACTTGAGCTACTTTGCGGTTAGCAAATACACAGCATAACCTCATTGGTTTCCTCAGTATGCATTTTTTCTTGCATATTTTATCAAAAACATTTACAAAAACAGTCCTGGCAAACATTTCTTTAAAAACTAGCCTCAAAATTTATTATCACATACCTGTTTGTTCCTTTTCTAACTTTTTGTTTGGCCCTTTTTTCCCTTGATCTTTGGTTTTATTTGCTTCCTCATGCTGTCTTTGTTCAGCAAGAGATTTATTCAGCACTTGTGTGATGACAGAATCTCCTTCACCAACCAAGAACATGTTCTTAAATTTGTTATACAACATTGTAGACTTTTCCATGATAACTTGACTAACTTTGAATCGCCGTATCTGACAAAAAGAAATCATTATTTTTCTAATTGATTTAAACTTTTTAAAAAAATGAGAAAATTTTTTTAAACTATAGGTCTTGAAATGACTTACTTTTTTTAGTGTTGTAATCATCTCTGTGTGTTTCTGAGCTTGTTGCATTGTTACCTGAAGTGAAGCAAGTTCATCCAAGGCCTCAATGCACCTGTTCACATCCTTCACGACAAAACAGCAATTTCATATCTGTTAATTATCAAGGCATCTATATAATCTACTTCTGAAGACTTCTAAACTCTCAAGGTAGTACACAAAACGGCCAGTGGTTGCTCCTTTTATCTTAAACTTACATACTTAGTCATGTGAGAAAATATATGATGCTATAAAAGAAGTACTATATTTTAAATGAGGTTAAACACTTACTAGATTATCAATTTTGAGTGAATTTTTAATTTCAGCATGTATCCTTTGAAGTCGAGAATCCATTGATGTTTCTATAAATTGAAATATGTGAAAAATAGTAAATAATTTTTCCCAAACCATTATGTACAGTTTAAGCAAATAAATGGTGGCTACAAGAAAAAAATGTTTGCTTAGTAATTTTTGAGACACCCATAAGAAGGTACCTACTAATTTTAATATGTGGTTTACAAGAGAAGCATGCAGCATAAAACGTAAGGTTACCACTGTGCTGCATCTTTTCTACAATAGTCTGTACCCAATGATGAACTCCACTACATGTCAGTCCTTAAATACCTGCTTTACCTTACCCATTTAACTGCAAGGTATTTGTCAAAAATGGGAAAACATCCAGCTCTTGGCAGGGTTGCAAAACTGACATCAAGTGAGCATTAAAATATAAAGACATTAATTAGCAAGTTCACCTGACAATGCTTAAAGTGCAATTTCTGTAGAATCATCAGCATGATTTGAAAAAAACACGTTTGTAGGCTATAAGAACACAAAATGGAATTGATTCCCCCAAAAAATCATTTTAAAAGATGACATTAAATTCTTTTTAAAATTTTTATTATTAACCTATTGGTTTATTTTGGTTTAAGCCAGGGCCACAGTATATAGCCCTGGCTGGCCTGGAACTTGCTGCTAAGATAACAGGCATGTGCCACCACACCTGGCTTCCACCAGCTTTCTAGGTATAGTTTTATACATCTTAGAAAGTAAAATAACTAACCTCTCTTCTTCTCCACTTTCTTAACTTCTGGCTTCTTTCCTTCATCTTTATTCTGCCTATTAAATGTTAACACAAATATTTCAAAACACTGGAACTCTGTGAGTGGGATTACCAGATGCTCACATTCCCTTATGTAAACGTTTTAAATTGTTCCTTATGCTAGTAAGTCACCTTGAACACAAAGAACTGACTGTAGTTTCTAGAACTATGTGTTCTACAGCATTATCATAAGTACAGGCAAAACTCAAACATGCCAAATTAATCTTTTAGCAACATCACAAAATGATTTTGAAGGCATCACAATGAAATTTTCTCTCCAACATTAAATAATATGTTAAAAATCCAATTTCAGGATTACGAACAAGCCATAATCAAGAAAAATGCCTATAAATGTTCAACGGATTTTGAATCACAAATATTTTGTTTTTCTATAATTATTTTTAAAGTATGTCAAAATAGACCAATTAAAGTTTTCCCCCACATCTCCAAAGGACAGATAATTTGAGGGGTTTTGAAATTAGCTACATTAAGGAGACCTGCTTTAAGGTGATACTTATGATTTGGTTTAATTGGAGAGAAGGCCATTACTATCAAACTAAATGACTTCCACTAATATTTACACACCATTTCACAAATGTAAAAGTACCATTTTCCTGAGAATCACAAAAATAACCTAAAATAGAATCTTAATATTTTCTAATACCTTGGCTGGGTGTTCAGGCCCTATGATGAACCAATTAAAATAGACAAGAACAAAAA